TAGAACATAGGAATATCAAAACTGAAGGGGATCTTAGAACGCATTTTAACACAGACTGTCCCAGGTGGGAAGTGAAACCTCCATGTTCTAGATAAAGACGTTGTAGCTCTGAATTGTTCTAGGGCCCTCCCTCCATCCTGGCTTCAAGGTCAACCGTAAAGTATAGATGGAGTGGGGAACCTGCGGCCTCGAGGCCACATGTGGCCGTCTGAGTCCTCAAGTGCGACCCTTTGACGGAATCCAAACTGCACATGTAGCCAACGTCAAAGGGTCGCACTTGAGGACTTAGACGGCCACAGATTCCCCACCCCTGGTCTAGGAACCTGGGAGCGTGACCCTCAGCAGCTGTGGGGGACAAGCCAGCACAGCACACCTTAATTAAAATCCCCCCCTTCTCCCAGAAGTAATATTTTTAGAAGGCCCCTGCCTCTGTCCTCCCCTCCCCTTGGGGTATCGTCGGTATCGCTTCTCCTCCTAGGCTGCCCGTCTCTGTTGTCTGCCCTCATTCGTGTTTCATCAGCATACCCCAACTGGGTCTTGCACATGCCCAGTCTAAGTATTGGGAGCAGACTCCTGTTGTCCTGGTAACCAAAGTGCGTTCCATCCTGGGGTTCTCCTAACTGATCTGCCTCTAGCTTGGCATTCCTGTGGCTCTGGGGGGACAGCCCTCTCTCACTGATTGTCCAGCAAATCTTGTGTGTGTCTCTGATCCAAGGTTTCATGTCTGCGCTCTTAACTCATTCTTGAGATAGGATGTTTGGCTAGGCCAACCCAAATATAAGCCATAGCTTCCCAAGTTGTGATCCATCCTTAGGCCTGGGCCAGCTGCTGCCCAAAACCATGCCCCTGTCCACAAGGAAAATGTATGGGGGTGAGCCCTCTGGCAATCTTGGTCTCACCAGATTTCCAGATTAAAGATAAGCTGGTCCAATCCACACCAGAACAAGTGGTTATCCAACTTTGGTTTGAAGACCTTCAGTAATGAGGAACTCACCCCACCCCCCGCCAAGGCAGCCATTTTTTTTGGTAGCTATACTGTGCTTTTCCACCTGGACCCCAACATCTTTCAGTTCTGCTTTGCCCTGTCTATCCTTCAGCTGCAGCCTTGCTGGAGGGCAGGGGTCCCCTAATCCTCTACTGCACAGGAAGGGCACCTCCCCTATTTCCCTTCTTGTGTCCCCCACAGTGATTTTCAGAGAACTTTGTCTCGGTCAGGAGTTCTTAACCTTTTTTTTGGCATTCTGGCCCCCTTTGGCAGTGATTCTGGTATAAACCTGTTGATAATCTTCTCAGTGTCATGTTTTTAAGTGCATGAAATAAAAGACAGGAGTAAAGTACCAAGGAATCCAAAAGTCCTTTTCCTCCCTCCCAATTCACAGAGCCCCTGAAATCCACCCACGGAGCTTCAGGGAGAGGCTCCTCTGGGCCCCCAGCCTGCCTCTCCTGCTCACCTGGGCTCAGCCCAGACTCTACGTCAATAGGGCATGACCTTTGTCACGGTGGTATAACCATCTCATTGTCAAAAACTGAAGCGAGCTGTTGCTACTCGACAGCCTTCCCGTGATACTTGGCATTCACTCTGCAACAGTTGCTCTCCATCAGTGGCTGGCCACAATGTTTCCCAAGCCTTGCCTCTGACTGCCTCCTTAAGCAGTCCCTTCCTGTGTCCGCCTGAGCCCTGTTGGCTTTTTTAACCAATCAGCTTCTAACCCTACTTTTCTTTTTTCAGCTCTCAGCTGCTTCCTCTTGGTAATTTTCTGTTGACACCCCCAGCCCCCCCCCCCCCCCCCCCTTGACTACCCCAAGGACCTTTCCCCTCTTATTATCCCACAGGATACAATATTATCAAATAAACTTTGGAATTCCTCCTTCCACACTCCCAGGGGCACTCTCTCCTCTTCCCAAGGACAAGGATTAACCCTTCCAAGGCAGATGGCGAGCTCCCCGTCTTTGCCATGGGAAGCCTTGAACATAGCATGGCTGCTCATGTTAACTACATGAGGCACATCTTTGCTGTAGAGATTTTCGTCACTGGCCAAGTCTAGGTACCTTCCAAACTCACCATTCTATCTACTCCCGGCAGTCAGAGCACAGGGGAGCTAGGTTCCAGTCCCAACTTTGTGACCTTGGACAAGTCACACTCTCTAGTTAGGCCTCAGTTCTCTTGTCTCTACAATGGGGGCAGGGGGGTAGACTAGATAACCTCAGAGGTCATTTCCAGCTCTATATTTAGGAGCATATAAATACACTACGTTGTGTCACGGCTTCAGGGTTATAGAAGAAACCTAGATTTAGCCAAGTACCTTATCAGCCCACATGTGGTTCTGGCTGTATACTGCTTTAACTAAAATTCCCTCTCCTCTCAGAAGAGAAGCATTGTAGTGTGGTAAGCCTCCGGGCCAGAAAACCTGGATAAAAGTCCTTCTGTCTCTTACGGGTCGTTTGGCCCTGACAAGTTATTTAACCGTAGGGCTCTAGGCAACTTTCTTAAGATGATAAACTGCAGAAAAAATCCCTGTAACAGTGAGATCACTGGTCCTAGGCCCTGAGCCCTTTTCTCAGAAATTTCATGTTCAATAAAAGCGCATGTGGGCGGCACTTTTCTCTCCCAAAATGCCCCTCAAGCAATGGTCCAGGATGACCTGCTCCTGTTCATTGTTTTATCCTCATTTGTTGTTATGCAGCCGTGTCTGACTCTCCCTTCGGGGTTTTCTTGGCAGAGAGACTGGAGTGCTTTGCCACTTCTTTCTCCAGCTCATCTTACAGATGAGGAAACTGAGGCAAACAGGGTAAAGTGACTAGCCCAGGATCACACAGCCAGTCAGTGTCTGAGGCCAGATTTGAACTCAGGAAGAGGAATCTGCCTGGCTCCAGGTCCGGTGCTCTATCCCCTGGGCCTCCCAGCTGCCCTTTCTCCTCATTATAATATCATTAATATAATCCTCCACATGCTAAGCATGAGCTCTGGAGAACAGAATCCATGGTTGTCCTGGCACAATATGAATTCAGTTCAACTCTGTTCAGCACCTACTATGTGCCAGGCGCTGGGGATTCCAAGACAAGAATGAAATGGACCCAGACTTCAAAGAGCTTAAAGTACTGGGGGTTGGGGGTGATGGAATATGAGACGTAGACAAGGAGATACAATGTCTCTACAAAGTACAGTCTGTTAGGGAATATAACCTATAAGCAAGTAAGTCAGTGCTAATTATATACAAAGTAATTTCAGAAGGGAGAGAACTGGGGAAGAGGAATCCGGAAAGGCCTTGGGTAGGAGGTGGTGTGAGTTGTGCTTTGAAAGAGACCAGGGATCCCAAGAGGCAGAGATGGGGAGAGAGGGCATTCTGGTGTGGAGCACAGCCCAGGCAAAGGCAAAGGCCTGGAGGTAGGGTGTTTTAGATGGAAGCCAGCCACAATGAAAGGATGGAGGGAGCCAGTTGTAGAATGCTTTCAGTTGTCTCCAGCCTGGTCTGATCCCTTATCTGCCCATGACCAGTGAATCTAGGTATCGGGTCCAAGGGCTGTATCTGTGCCTGCACTTGAGATAAGGTGATTACAAAAATGAGGATGAGGAGTTCTGTGATGGCAAGCTGAGGCCAGCCAGGAGGCTTTATAAGCAGCTGTTGCCTGAGCCCCTGACTCCTTCCTCTTGGCCCTGGGGGGTGGGAGGCGAGGGGTTAAGCCTCTTTCTTATGTAAAGCAGCAGACAGAGTTGTAGAGAGCAGATTGGAGCTTCTCTAATTTCTTTGGCCAGAACCGTGGCCATAGTCTTATATGGTCCAGTGTAGTGGCAGGACCCCCAGAGTTGGAGTCAAAAGATGGCGGTTTAAGCCCTCACTCTGCGCTTTTCCCTTGTGTGAACTTGGGCAAACGTCTCCTGGATCTCAGTCACATGGAGTGGTCACACTCAGGTGATACCCGGTTCTCTCCTGTTGTACGTTTTATGGCCCTATATAATCAACGGAGGCGGCTAGCTTGCTTGGTGGATAGAGCTCGAGGCCTGGAGTCAGGAAGACCTGAATTCAGATGTGGCCTTAGACACTAGCTGCATGAGCCTGGGCAAGTCTCTTTACCCCGTTTGCCTCAGTTTCTTCATCTGTAAAATGAGCTGGAGAAGGAAATGGCAAACCGTTGCAGCATCTCCAAGAAAACCCCATAGACACCATCGATGTGCTATAGTCCACTGGGTCACAAAGAGTCGTACACAACTGAACCATTGAACAACAATATTATAATCACTGACACAGAAGAAACTTCACGCCCTAGCAAGAAGAATGAGGAATTTGAGTTCAGAAATCCTAGCTCCAGACTATTCAGGTCTCTGAACCTCAAGCTTTCCTATCTATGTAATGGGGATAATCAGACTCAGATACCCTTCCCTCTAAGGCTACCTTCACAGCACCAACAGTATGCGTTTTCAGGATTTTCAAAGAGCTTTATATATGATCTTATTTTAACCTTCCAACCACCATCTGAGGTAGGTGCTCTGATTATCCCCATTTTACAGATGAGATTAAGTGATTTACCCACAGGTTACATGCAGAGCATATCTTGTAAGTGTCTTGAGGCTGGATTTGAACTCTGACCTTCAAACTCCTGGTCCACCATGGTAAAACAGTATCTACAATCTTCTGTCAGCAGCTACACCAGTAACACTATATAGATGTGAGCTGTTGTTACTATGTTCATTAAACTATCTCTGGGCCTCAGTTTCCCTGTTTGAAAAATGAGGGTGTTGGGTGCGGTGACCTCTCAGTTCCCTACCAACTCTTAACTCCTGATATTCAATTCAGTGAGCTTTTACTCTCTGGATAGACAGCAGTCAGTCCGCTAGCATTTTTTTTGTTTTGTTTTGTTTTGTTTTGTTTTTAGGTAGTTGGGTTAAGTGACTTGCCCAGGGTCACACAGCTAGTAAGTGTCAAGTGTTTGGTCTGAGGCTGGATTTGAACTCAGCTCCTCCTGATTTCAGGGCCGGTGCTCGCTCTACTGAGCCGCCTAGCTGCCCCAGCTAGCATTTATTAAGCTCCTGCTGTATGCCAGACACTGTTCTGAATGTTGGGGAGTACAAAAACAAAAGTGAAATCGTACTTTCCCTCGAGGACCTTACGTTCTCCTTCTCCTAAATGACCCTGCTTCTGCTCTTCTGCCCAGTTCCGGAAGAAAAAGCTGAAATTCTGCAAGAGTCACATCCACGACTGGGGTCTTTTCGCCATGGAGCCCATCGCGGCCGATGAAATGGTCATCGAGTACGTGGGGCAGAACATCCGGCAGGTACGACCCGACAGGCGGCCGGGGCCACCTGCCAGGGGGATGAGGGGATGAGCGAACATTAGCGTGGGTTCCAGGGAGCTGGCTGCCTCTGCTTCCCCGTAGGACAGAGGGGGAGATGGAGGCTGCGCACTCTACTTTCCTTCCCTTCTCTCCACCCCCCACCAGGTAATCGCAGACATGCGGGAGAAACGCTATGAGGACGAGGGCATCGGGAGCAGCTACATGTTTCGGGTTGACCACGATACAATCATCGATGCGACAAAGTGTGGCAACTTTGCCAGGTTCATCAACCACAGCTGTAATGTAAGTGGCGGGGGTCAAAGGTCATCCCAGTCATCTCCACCCCCCCCCCACCCAGATGCTGGCAGTTAGGAGGGGTGGGCTCCCTCTCTAGCAGCTGAGGGAGGACCTTTGGGTTCCCTCAAGCAGCCTAAGTCTTCCATTACCTCAATATTTCTGCACCTCAGTTTCCTCATTGGTAAGAGTGGGTTGGACTCGAGTGGCCCTGAGGTCCTTCCAGGGTCCCCTCTGCTCCTCTGCACCTGGGCCTCACTGGGCCTCTCCATCTTCCACAGCCAAACTGCTATGCCAAGGTCATCACCGTGGAATCCCAGAAGAAGATTGTCATCTACTCCAAACAACATATCAACGTCAACGAAGAAATCACCTACGATTATAAATTCCCCATCGAGGATGTCAAGATCCCCTGTCTGTGTGGCTCTGAAAACTGCCGAGGGACTTTAAACTAGGATGCCAGGGAGCTGGGCGTGCTTTGCCAAAAAAAGAAAAAGGGAAAAAAGAAAGCCCCACCCCGGTTCAGCCCAGCCCAGCGAGTTGCTTTGGGCACAGGCTCCTAGGAGCCCAGCTCTCCCCAGCCCACCCTCAGGTGCTGTCCCTCACCCCAGGCCCCGCTCGGGGCCACCCAACACTACCCACCCTCCTGAACCCTCCCTCCCTCCTCGTCCTCCTCCTACTTGTGGGGAAAGACGCTCCCTCCCTCTCTAATTTTTTAATTATCATCTTTAATTTTTTTAAAGTCACACAAACGTATCCCCTCTCCCGCAAATGCTGCTACATTTTTTTTTTCCTCCTCCTCCTCAAAAAGACATTTTTCACCATTCAAAAGTGGAGCCAGAGATGGAGGGAGAAATATTACGCTTTTTGGAAGAGAGATCGGGGCACAGAGCCTGGAGGAGGAAGAATGGGGATCTTGGGTACCAGGACAAAGGCTGTTGGCTCCCTGCCCTCAGTATGTTTTGGGAGCCCTCCCTTCTCTCCCCAATCCCGCCAACGTCCAGTTCTGTAAGACCCTGCCCTTCAGCCCTGATGTTAACCGTGGGATGCCAGAGGAGGGAGCAGGGAGTGGGGCATGGCCCTCTGTTCTCCTCCGTAACACTGTTCCTGCGGCCGTCACCCAAAGGTTGGTTTGGTTGAAGTCTCTGGTAGGGGATGGACCCCTGACCAAGTGGGACCTTGAAGGCCTTGTTCCTTGGGACCTTGGATGTTTTCTGTCCCAGTCTTGGGGAGCAGGGAAATACTGAAAGCCAATGGTTAATCTCCTGCCCTTTTTCCCACCCCAGTGTCTTTCCTTTTCTCTTGCCCAGCCCCTCCCCTCCCCCCAGCTCCTCCATCCGTTGGGATGGCCTTCAGTGCTCACTCACTCTTCCTCTTCCTCACTCGGTCTGAGCTGGGGACCTGCAGCTATTCATGTGGGGTTGGGGAGGGGGGGATCTGCTTGGCTTTTACTCTCTCTCTTTTTTTCTTGATCTGTCTTCCTTCCCTGGTGCTGGGGAGCCGGGCAGGTGCTATGTATAGGTTGAGAAGTGGGACAGAACTGGGCGTGGGGGAGCCTGGCTTCTTGAGGTTCGCCTTCTCAGACCGTGTTCCTTGCCCTGGCCTCCACCTCCCACCCCATGGCCACCCCTGGGAGGTAGCAGGGGGCATGCCTGGATCTCTAAAATGTTTACTTTCTCATTCAGATGCCAGCAAGAAGGGGGTGAGACAGAGTGGTCAGGGTGAGGGAGGGGGTCTTCCAAAGGAAACCAGGGCCTCACCCGAGCCTCTGGCCTGCCCCCTGATAGCCAGCAGCCAGGGCAGGGCCCTTTAGGTGCTGTGTAGTTTTCTCCCCAAGAGCCTAGGGAAGGGGACTGGCCAGGGGCCCGTGGGTGGGAGCTCCCCTAGTGCTTGGCCTGTCCAGGCTGGATCCTTCCCTGGGAGATATAGTGGAAACCCAGGGGAGAAGAGGCCGCAGGGCTGCTGCCCAAGGCTAACGTGCTTCCTACCCTCTGCCCTTTTCCCTAGTTCTTCTTCCTTTCTCTGCCATTACGGGTTGTCTTTTATGATAGGTGTTTCTCTTTCAGAAGACACACCACAAAACTCATCTGCTCTCTGCTGGGATCCCTGGGCCCGGGGACACCATTGGGCTTCCCTCACCTCATTGTCCACCCATCCGTCCGTCCGTCCATCTGTCCTAATTACCACCAGCCTGTCTACTTCTCTGTCTGTATCCAGGATCCCAAGGGTGGACCAGGGAGGGATGGGAACCCATCTCGAAGATATTTATATTGAAAAAAAAATGCAAACAGTTTCATTTTCTCCCGTGAGGAAGGAAAAAGAAAACGATTTTTTAATGTTGGACGGAAGTCTCCAGTAGCTTTCAGTAGGTGTGTCCCCATCCCCTCCACTCCAAAAACTTTCAGGATTCATTTCAATGCTTTTTGTGTATAGACCAGGAAAGACTAAAAGGACACATAAAAAAAGCCACAAGCATTTTGGAGTAAAAATCAACGCCTCATCTGTACATAGGCCACTGGGATGACCTTCTCTTGGGAACATTGTTTCTTGTAGAAACACGTGGAAAAAATTTTTTTTGAGGATTTCTTTGTACTTGGGGGGGAAAGCCCCGATAAACCCAACAACAGGGGGAAAAAAAAAACAAGTGAGTTTGTAAATACTTTATGAAAAAAAGGAACTTATTATAATTTGGACTCGTTTTTAGCAAGATGACAGCTTTCCCTCCGAGCCGCCTGCTGAAGCCCCAGCTCACGCGAGGAGCCGCTAGCATCTCTCTCTCGGCTTGTGTCAAGCTTCTTACCGTGTAAATTCTGTACAAAAAAAACCTTGGGTTTGATTTTGTTTGGGGGTTTGGGTTTTTTTGTTTTGATTTTTTTTTTTTTGGTTCTTTTTGTATGTGTGCCCTGATTGATGTGTGTCTGTATGTGTGTGTGTGTGTGAGTGCGTGTCCAATTAGACAAAATTAGCAGCATCGAAATGGAGGGGAAGACGCAGGCCAGCCCTAGCCCTTTCCTTTCTGTTTTGGGTTCAGGCCTTGTCTGCCAACTTAAATGTGTAAGAGAGAGAAAAAAAAGAATATATATATTTATTTCACAGAAGGAAGACGTGTACAGTGTGCGGAGAAGGGTCTATTTAAGCAAGTTCTGGATCCCAGCCCCCCCCAACTCCCCTAAGAGATGTTTCTCTCCCAAACTAGATTGGGGCAAGCACTAAGGGAGAAAAGGGGGGGAGGGCATAAGATGGTTTGAATGGGACCCCTCCCCCAAATCCCTCCCCCTTCACCAAGTTGGTTCCAAGGATGAGAGCAGGGAAGGGCCCCCTCCATCAGAGGAGGGAGGGGATTGTTTGCAATAACTAAGAAAATGCAGTCATTTTTAGTTTGATTTGATTTGACAAATTCTTTGCTTTGAAGATTTCTGCCTCTAGGTTTTCTTTTTGTTTTTGTTTTTTTGGTTTGTTTTCTCCCCCCCTCACCATAAAAAAAAAAAAAAGGCAATTGAATTTTTGGGCCATTTTGTGTATCTAGACCCCGCCCTCTGTACGTCACCTGTTTTTGAAGAAAAATGTTTCTGTTGTGGGTGCATCTTGCTGTAAATACTTGTTCATATTTTTGTGAATTCAATACTATGTACCATTGTATTATAGTAACTTTTATAAAGCAAACCCTAAATATACTGACTTTTCTTACAGAAATCTGGCCTCTTTGGCTTTCTTCAGTCCAGCCTCTGGAGGGGGGACATCCCCACCCAGGAAGAGGCAAAGGGTAGGGTGAGGGCTACCTGGTGGCCCACAGGAATCCACAAAGAGATGGACTTCTGTCAAGTGTAAGCCAGGGGGATGATCTGAGTGGTCAGGAGCTGCTGGGTTGGCTAGAAAGGTGACTGAACTAAGTTGAAATGGATGGAGAGTCAACTGTCAAGGCTTATTACCTGGGTTCCCAAGTACAAGATGAGATTAGATAACATTTTCTCCCCCCACCCCGAAAGAAAAAGATCCAGGGGTCTTAATGGACTACAGGCTCAATTCAATTGACAGAAGCCTCTGCCTTCAAGAAGTTTTTATTCTACTGGAGAAGGAGAGAAACAACCTGTACATGGGAAATTAACACAAAATAGATACAGTAACTTCTCAGGGAGAATCAAGTACTTCCTGTAGGAAGTGAAGATCAAGGCCAGCTTTGAATGGGGCATGGAGATCAGATGTCACAAGTCATGTACTGGGGCAGTTTGGCTGAGATCTGCGTGGTAGTAATCGCCGTCTTTGGGGCAGCTAGGTGGCGCAGTGGATAGAGCACCTGCCTTGGAGTCAGGAGGACCTGAGTTCAAATCTGGCCTCAGACACATAACACTAGCCAAAGAAGAAAAAAATAATAATTGCCATCATTTAGACAGAGCTTTGCCTATATGATCATGTTTGATCCTCACAACAACACCATGGAAGAGTGCTATTATTATCCTCATTTTACAAGTGGATAAACTGAGGTGCAGAGGGCAATGGCTTGCCCAACTCAGGCAGGATTTGAATTCAGGTCTTTAGTGACTCCACATCCCCCTAACCCACCAAGGCCTCTATGATAGTAAAATGGTAAACCTGGAGAGATAGACTGCCTCTAGATTGTGAAAGATTTTAAATATTGAATAGAATTTGTATTTTATCTTAGAGGCAATTGGGAGTCATTGAAACTTCTTGAGAAGGGCAGGAACATGATTAGATCTCTGCTTTGGGAATGTTAGTTGGGCAGCTGTATAGAAGATGAACGGTGGGGAGTAAGGTGGGAAGAGGGGTGGGTGTGTGCAGTAGAGCTTAAGAGTATCAGCGATCTGATATGGCAGCCAGGAATGAAAGCTCTCTTAGCCTGTATTGAGAGAAGTGTGGTGTTCAAAACATATTTGGGAATACCGTGCATGATTCTGGGTGAGTACTGTGTTTTAGACAAACTGGAGCACCAGTTCTCCCAAGTGTGGCCTGGGGGTCCCAAGACCTTTCCATGAGGTCAAAAAAACTTCATAAGACATTTTAATATCTAATTTGGCAAATATTGATAGATATTTACGTCTAGCTCCTTGGAAGTCCTCAATAGTTTTTTGTTTGTTTTTGAAGCAATCAGGGATAAGTCACTTGCCCAGGGTCACACAAATAGTAAGTGTTATGTGTCTGAGGCCAGATTTGAACTCAGGTCCTCCTAAATCCAGGGCCGGTGCTCTATCCACCGCGCCACCTAGTTGTTCCGTCCTAGTTGTGTTTTAAAATCGATGTTTAAGAATGTAAAGGCATGGGGGCAGCTAAGTGGCACAGTGGATAGAGCACTAGCCCTGAAGTCAGGAGGACCTGAGTTCAAATCCGGCCTCAGACCAAACACTTGACACTTATTAGTTGTGTGACCCTGGGCAAGTCGCTTAACCCCAATTGCCTTTAAAAAAAAAAAAAAAAGAACGTAAAGGCATCCTGAGATATTTGAGAATGCCTGAGCTCAAGGGAAGCCAGAACATGGAGGCTAGGATGGTGAAAATAATGAGAAAAGTTGAGACCCAAAGAACTTCTACTGTGTAGCCTCAGGAGCCCCCATAGAGGGGTGGGTGAAGGACAGCTGTGTAAGTGATGGATTCACTTTCTTTTGTTTGGTCCAGGAGACCAAAACGAAGAGCAAGGTTTGGGGAAAGGGGAAGATTCAGTGAAACATACTTAGGCTTAGGGGGAAGTCAATCTTACAATGAGAGCTGTCCAAGGGGAAGGGGCTAACTGTAGTATACCATAAGCAAGAAAAAATATACCTAACACAACATACCTCTCAAGACTGCCCTATGGTGTCCATTATGGCAAAGGACTATTTAGAGAATCCTCTGGCTTAGAGAGTAGTACTTGATTTGGAATTGGACGACTTGGGTTCAAATCCTGAAACTACCTAATGTAGAACTGTGTGGCCCGGGGCAAAATCACTCCTCTAGGCCTCAGTTTTCTCATTTGCAAAATGAAGGAATTCAATGGCTGTAGATCTATGCTAATTTGTAATTACTTTAAAGGAATGCTCAGTTATTTCAGTCTTGTCTGACTCTTTGTGACACTGTTTGGGGTTTTCTTGGCAAATATACTGGAGTAGTTTGCCATTTCTTTCTCCAGCTCATTTTATAGATGAGGAAACTGAAGTAAACAGGGTTAAGTCTGACTCTTCATGACCCCATTTGGGGTTTTCTTGGCAACAATACTGGAGTAGTTTGCCATTTCTTTCTCCAGCTTATTTTACAGATGAGGAAACTGAGGCAAACAGGGTGGAGTGACGTGTCACACAGCTAGAAAGTGCCTCAGGTTGGATTCGAACTCAGGTCCTCCTGACTCCAGGAGAGAGCTTCTTAAAAGGAAATGGGGGGGAAGAGGGTTGAAAGAGGAGGGAAATGAGGAAGCAGTACATTCCAGCTGTAGGAGACAGTTTGTGCAAAGGCACATGGGTGGGGAGATGAAGCACACACTAGAAGCAGTGGGCTTAGCGTGACTAAAATGCACAGTGCACGAAGGACAGGAAAAATGAGTAAATAACCTTGGAAAGGTTGACTGCAGTCAGATGACGAAACCGAACAGGAGAGTTTGGATTTTGTTCCAAGGGCAGCAGGGGAATGATATGATCAGAAATGTGCTTTAGTCATGCCTAGTAGGCACCTAACACATGAATGCTCATTGATTGAACACAGTCCTTTAATAGACAAAGAAAGCGAATCTTAGGATGTAAGTGACTAGTCTAATCTTAACAGATTGGATTAGAACCCAGATCCTTTGACTTCTAATCCAAGGCTCTTGCCAGTTAACCCAAGAGAGGAGGGAGCTTCCAGCATCACAGGAAGGAAGACCGTGATTAGCTCTGCTCCGGTTCCAATAAAGACTGGACAAAAGAAAAGGGCTTGCTTGCATTTCCACGTTGGGGACGTGGACAGGAGTCAGCCTCTGGATTTGGCTGCTGAGGGAATTGATAGAATCCATATCCTTTGGGTTTTGGTGGTGCTCTGTTTTGTTTTAAATAGAAGATCCCCTCTGCTCTGTATTGCCCTTGGTAAAGGTATGGGGCTGGACTGGAGTACACCTAGAGGCTCCTGCTGGAAGCAGAACATCTAGGGTTGAACGTGAATTCTCGTTATTGGTTGGTTTTCCCACCTCTTTCCTCTTTCCTCTATTACCTTCCATCTCCTCCATGTATATATTGTATGTTAATTAGTACCTAATTAATTCCTACTTATTTACACGTCTCCCTTGTTAGACTGTGAGCTACCCGAGGGCAAGGACTATTTTTGCTTTCTTTTGCTTCCCCAGCACTTAGCCCAGTGCCTGGCGTACAGTAAGGGCTTAATGAGTGCTTATTGACTGACAACCTCTAGACCTAGATAGAAGAGAACCCAGGAATCTGGAAATCATTGACTCACTGGCTGGGAGGTGGGCTTTGCTAGAATGCCTTATTTTTTCCCAGCCCACCTCCCCACCCCGCTTGTGATGGTATTTTAAAGGAACCCTGGAGGTACCCTACCAGCCCCTCAGAGCTTTGCCTGTGGCCAGCCCTATTTTCATACAATGAAAGCGTAAAGCATTGCTGACCTCTAAATTTTCAGGATTCTAAATCTGAGGAACACGCATCAGTGTTTGCATAGGTTCCCTATACTTTCAGAACCAGAATAAAAGCTTAAGGATTCCTTACAAACCTGTGGAGGTCACTTTGACGGATGGACCAATTGACCTACTGAGACAAAGTGGGGAAGAACAGAGCCCAGGAATTGGGAAGTCCTCACCTGCTCCTCTCTTTCCATAGATACCCAACTCACCCCTACCACAATGGGCATTGTCATCTAATGTCGCCCATGACTCATTAAAAATAAATTGTTAATGTTCTTTTTTTTTTTAAACCTTATTGTTTCTTCATGCTGACTTCCTCCTCATCCCTCAAAAAAGGCTTGGAGCGAATAAGTCCATTCAAGCCAAACAAATCGAAACATCGGTCACGTCTGACAACGTGCGCCCCATTCTGTACCTCCAGTCCACCACCTCTGCCGAGAGAGAGAGGAGGCATATTTCACCATCTGACTTATGAAGATGTGATTGGTAGCTCCCACCAATGCTTCTTGAGAAAAGAAAATGGATTTTTCCTCCTGGCCTGGAGACCCTGGGTTCAAATTCCAATCCTATTACTTGCTACATAAAGCTGGAGCCAATTAATAACAGCTCAGGAGAAATGATTGTTAAATTTTCAACATGAGCCTTTACTCATCAGGGATCAGCAAAAGCCACAAATCAAGACTTCATTTATTGTTTTGGTTTTGAAATTTAAAAAAAAGCAATGGAGAAAATGTTCCGAATGCAAATTAAACGGGAAAATGCGTCTCCCAGAGAGCCAGTTGTTAAACCCTTACCAGCACACCCCCACCCACATGCTGTTTTAGGGATATCTCTTCACTATGAGAAAATGTACCTCCTCCTTTTTTATAGAGGTAGGAGACTGGGGGTTAGGAGCACTGTCTGACTATAAGGTCAGACTCTTGCTACATCAGCTAGGTTTGCTAAAATGCTCTGTCCCCCCTGTTTTCCGGTGCTTACTACCTACATGGCCTCCCTTGGGCAAGTCATATAACCTCAGTTTCCCCATATGTAAAATGAGGGGTTGGATCAGGTGGCCTCTAGGTCTCTCCTCTCTCTAAAGGAGGGTAGAGGAGAAGGGAGAT